AGCTGAAAATGTTCTATGAAATGAGTGAATTTGAGAAAAAAGAGTGGAAGAAAAAGGACACTGTGTATTGACCTTGTCTTACCGATGTGTAGCATATGGCATGATGACAATTTGAGGTCTTCGCTGTCATTAGATAGTCACTTTGATAGGGAAAAAAATCACTCAAAATGTTTTGTAAGTGTTAAAACTATTCAAGTAAATTTCTCTGCTCTTTGAAACACTTGCTCTAATATCTTGAGTAAATCACTCTCCCTGCACTGTTTACGAACAAGGAGATATTATTAAACTGAATTACGTTTCAGGCCGGTGACTGACTTTCCCAGGGTTAGCAGGTAGCAGGTAGAAATCAAGATGATATTTTGCTTGGAGCTTCTGCAAGAAGAAAAGTAACAATGTACAAAATGGGCAGAAGTTACCAGCACCGAGTTACTCATTCCCCAGTGTGCAGCCTGCATTTCTTTAATTCTAGTAAGAACTCAGGACCCTTGCATTTACCTTTAAAAATCCTTCCATCACCTCCCTTTTCCAGCTACTGTTGTTTTTCCCCTGTAGCTGAGTGTGTGCTGGGTGCTCTCGTCTCCAGGCCTCTGTGATTTCCGTGGCTGCCCGGGTCAGCTGCTTCTGCCCAGGGTCAGGAGCTTCTTAGAGTAAAGCATATGGGCACTGCTTGCGCAGGATTTAACCTTGGGGAGTTTGGAGTTCCTACAGTTTGTAGGTTGTACGGCTGCATGAAGAACACGTAGATTTAATCAGTTTTCAAAATGACATGAGACAGGCTTGGTCTCACTGCCTCCTCCTTTCTGTGGAACTCGCCATCATCTCTGCAGCTCCTGCAGGAGCACAGCTGAAGGAATTGTCACCCTTAGGGTAGCTAAATACTGGAAAGACATTACTTTTGTATGTTTCTAGAAAACCATACGTTTAAAGACAATTATTTAGACCTTGAGGATGAACAATCAGAAGTTAGAAAACCACCGGAACTAGAGCTTCCTGGGCATTTCCACTTGCGTTCGTAAGCCCGTGTGTGCCTGCAGAGCTGTTCTCATGCTGCGATCAGATATTTTTAGCCCAAGACTTGGCTCCGTTCAGTGCGCATGCATTAAGCGAGTGGCTGTGTTCTTACTCGGTGTTTATGCCCTAATTCCCTTGAAAACAAAGCATTCTGCTCTGCAGACAGATCCCCTCCTCCCTGCCTTCATCCAGGGCCCAAACGCTTCTGTAGCAGGGATGGGGCGAGTCCCCGAGGGGCAGGGCTGGGGGCAGTGAGCTCCAGAGGGGCTCCAGCCCGCGGGAGCTTCGGTTGGCGGTGCTGACCGCCTGCCTGTCGCGGTTCCGAGAGCTCTCTGATGGTCAGTTTTTGTTTTAGTCCGAAGAAGATTTTCTTGAAAGAAGGAGAGAAGTGGAGAGGCTGCTGAAGAAGAATGCGGATTGGATCTGGGATTGGTCCAGCAGGCCGGAGAACATCCCGCCCAAGTGAGTGCTGTTGGCGCGTCCGGATGAACTTGGACGCAGCTTTTCCTTCCACAAGTCCACACACGTCTGTTAATGCTGTGACTGTGCTTTCTTCCTCAAAACCAGGGAATTCCTTTTCAAACATCCCCGGCGCACAGCTACCCTCAGCATGAGGAATACAAGTGTGATGAAGAAAGGGGGGATATTCTCAGCAGAGTTTCTGAAGGTTTTTCTTCCATCTCTGCTTCTTTCTCATTTGCTTGCCATTGGACTGGGGTAAGTTTGAATTAAAATAATAAATGTTTTCTTTTTTTTTAATCTGTTTTCTCTGAAGCCTGATTCTGACTCCAAAACCTCACTTTGTCTAAAGATGAATGGATCAGGTGCAGATTTGCATCACTGTTCTGTAACGAGCGCATAACAAAGTCACATCTTCAGCCAGTGCTGAATGTGGTACCCATAAAATTTCAGAATAATGACTCGTTTTAAGCTACAGCAAGTACATGAGTACAGGTGCAGGGTAGGGTGGCTGTGAGCGTACCAGGTTGGGAAATAATGAGTAGAGAAGGAGTAAGAAGTGCATGAAGATGATGGTAAAACGAGAGGTTTGCAAATTTCAGAGGTATTTAGCAAACGGAAAAACTTAAGATAGCAAAAGGGAAAAAGGTAATAAAATGTCTGATGGGAGACCTCCTGAACCAGAGAGCTCTTGCTGACCCCGTCCTTATCGCTGACTCTGCGTGAGCTCTTCGGCTCCAGGAATGCAAATTATTCACTCTTGGAACTTGGGGAGGACGGTCAGACAAGGCTACGCCCAAAGTCACTACCGACGGAAAACGGGGTTTCGCGGTAGTCACTTGATTTGCCCACGGAATCACAGCTGGCACCGCTGCTCCTGCTGGGAATTACTTAACCGGGAACGCGAGGAGAAAGGAGTGTTCCTTACCCGCTGTCCGTGCTTCCCAGAGCGAAAGGCAGCACTCGCTGACCGTGTGTTCTCCATCCGCAGGATTTACATCGGGAGACGCCTGACGACCACAGCTTCGAGCTGCACCTTTTAAAGGCACCGGGAACCTTGTCTGAAAGTGAAGAAAATGGTCACCTGGGAATGCGGGAGGTGGACAGAAATGTTGGAGGTAGCGACAACGGTGTGGTCAGCGTGTTCTCATTCTGTAAATGTGTTCATGGTTTAGTGGGAGTGGGAGAAGAGCCACTGCAGTTAACGTAGCGCGTGTAGTCTTCTGGATCGATTCATAGAGCTCGTTTCCGATGCATCGACATCTGTTTTATTGCTTTGTAGTGAAGTATCTTTGGGAATTAAAAGAGCTTGATGTTCAAAAACAATTCTAGCTTCAGTATAGCAGTTGTGATCGAGCTAGGTATTCATCCAAACCGCT